AGAGGCCCTTGATCTGGCTTCCTTGATGGTTTGAGGGAATTAGTATGTCCGTTCCCCATTGAGTGTAGAAAGCCTTGTACATGTACACTGGGTTCCTGGCACTGGCCTCCTTCTCTTGACGATATAAGTCAGGGCTTGCAGAAGGTCCAAGAAGAGCTGCTCGAAATTGGCGACCAACATATGGACGGATGAACCAAAGCCACCACCTAGGCTTGTCGAACTTGTTCCGAAGATACGGGGCACCGCGAGAGCTGAGCGTTTTGGCATTCGGCGAAGCGATACAGACGAAGCCACATAACTTGAGAGTGTTCACCAGGTAACGATCCATGGATAAACCGAGGACAATCGCTGCCCCATAGGAATGACCGATGATGACACTTCCGGGAGTGGCGAACTTCTCGAGGAAGGCAACCACGTCGCTCTTGATCTGAGCGGTGTGGTAGGCCTTAGGGTCATCGGGCTTCTCGCTGGCTCCGCAACCGTAGAGATCTAGAGCTACCACCCGATGCCCTTGAGCGGTGAAGTGGTCTATCTGCGCCTCGAACTGTTGCATGCGTGCACAGCTTCCGTGGATGAAGATGAGCGCCGGACGACCGGTCGAGACCGGCAGGTTTTCATACACAGCAATGCGGCGACCTGGTCTGATCTCGACGAATCTTATGCAATCTTTGTGGCGGGCATAGAAACCGTCGACCAAGGCAGTAGCGGGACGGTCATAGAAGAGCCAGCGGGTCCATACGTGGTAGCCGAGCCTCAAGGCGATGACAGAGGCCAACCCACCAGCAACAACGGCACCAGCGGTCTTCAGCGCTTGCGGGGGTTGTGGTAGTTCTTTCAGAGAAGGTAACATCATCACGTAAACCTAACTAGCAGTTTCACCCCCTACCATATAATAACAGAGCCGTGACCGACTAACATCCCCTCTAAGACTGATGCTACTCAAGACTCATGAGACACAACGTTCATATCATTCGGAGCACAACGTGCGAGATTTTTCTCTCACTTTGAAACTCTCATGCGATGACATCAAAGGCTCTTCGATGAGTAGAACAGCTTCACTCATCCCCTACCAGTGTCTAAGTAATGGAGAGCTGCGGAGAATAGCAGTCTAAGCACAGCCGTCCATGTAGCTAATACGGCCCTGCTGATGACGAGATCAGTGTCTTCCAAGTTGTACTTTGTCAAGATAAGATCTCCAAGCGGCGGAGCATCGTCAAACCAAGCAAACATGTACGTGTGAAACGCCGAGTGGTGAACGCATTTCCAACCTCCAGGTATTCGGTCGGCGTGAACATACCATAGATACCAGCAGCCACGGCAATACCAATGAAGTAGTGTAGGGTGGCAGCGCCCAGCAGCATCATGAGAGACTCTGAGACAACCATCGAGAGAAATAGGTCGAGGCAGAACCAACCAAACGTGTTGCGACCAGTCAGGCCAATAGCCATGCCAGACGAGACCACTGCGGTGAGACCGATTCCCGGCAGGCACACAAGAAAGTTGGCCTGGGCGCACACTGCGACATTGACGTTGGGATTCGCCCGCTCTCGAGCGAACACCTAGCGTACCTCGTCGAAGAATGGTAAAACCGCTACTACCATGAAGACCAGGAAGGCTCGTACATAGGAGAGCATCGGGACTTGGTCTCTCTGAGCGAAAGAGTCATTAGTCCGAATATTCATGGTGCCGATCATGAAGAAGATAATTGTATACATGACCAGGCGCACCCAGTCGATACTCGGGTTCCTCACGTTGTTCTGGAAGTTCCTCATCAGAAGAGTGATAAACTGCTGCGTTTTGCTGCTCGGCCTGACGATAGCTCTAATCTCACTGCCATTCAAACGAGGAACACTGCATCGTCCCTGGGGAATACTGCCTCATCTTTCTTCGCTTTTGTGTTATGACGCTCGACGAGTGCTTCGACATCGCCGTGACCAGGGAAGTTCTTATTGACCAAGTTCATGACATGCTTGGCGGGGTTAGTGAGAGTCGGTACAGGATAACCGGTAGTCGCGAAGTCCTCCGGGACCTTATCCGGTTGGCCAAAGTACATGACAATGCCTTGGACGAGGAGGCACACCTTGCTGAGCGAGAGCCATATGTCACCACTAGGCTGATGGATGGTCACGACGATTGTGCACTTATCTTCGATGGCTAGGATCTTCGAGTATTCCTTGATGTTGTCGGCCGAGGCAGAGTCCAGGCCGAGTGTAGACACTCACGACTCGGAAACTGGCGGAAACTCTGCGACGAGAAAATGCAAGGTCGGCATCGTTACTTGTAATAAACTGCTCAATCAATATTGTTGCGCGCTATCGCTCGACAATAGCGAGGATTAAGGTTACTGACGTGATCGTAACGCGACACACGACTTGCGGTTCGACTTCACGGACTGGACTCGCCGTACGCACGCCCGTTCAAAGATGTAGAGCCAGGCTATGCCCAGACTAGGAATGACAACTATAATAGATGAGATCTACAGTAGACGTATTGAAAAATATATTTGGTCTTTGGTATGTCGTGCTGGTATCTCATCCTCAAGAGTACTACAGATCTGCATCCTGTTCACTTTTCATGTTGTGCGCGAGTAGGCGTGCGCGAATCGAAGAAGGCGGAGCGAAGCGATTCAGAATCAGCAATTTGTAGCAGCATTTTCCTATTCGCGTCGCCTTCAATTGTGATCATCTGTTCGGAGGGTATTACCGCCATGTCCTAAGGGGAAAGGTAAATGAGTTGTTTGCCTTGACGCGAGAAAAGCTGCATAGGGTGGAGAAAATGTCGTGAAAATAGTACCATCACACTGGGCTGTTCGTCTGAAGTGCGAACCTTGAATTGAAATTTCATTCGCTAGCTGGCATTCGTCCGTGGTTGTCCAGCACCACCGCAGAAAAAAATTGTTACATTGAGTTCTCTAGATGCAGCTGTTTTGCTCCGCCGACGACCTGCCCGTTGAAAGTTCCGAGAAAGGTTGTTCGAGTCGAAGACAGAAACCACCGGCACGCTGTTCCTTCCTAGAGGAAAGTCGTAGTAGACTAAGCACTCAACAAGTGCCGAAGTGATGAAAGCCGTAAAGCTTCTTATGAAGACTAAGCTACGTTCGTACGCAAACTCAATGAGCGGAGCGACGTGATTTTCTTTCCATGAAATGGAACAACGCAGCTATCGACCACACTAATACCACACCTATGAAGCTTCTTATCGACTAATGCTACGGAGATCTCTGTAGTCCGTCACCCAACTCAATATCGTAGTCTAACTGCATCGAGGGAAGTATTACGGTGAATTGGTTTTCCGTCCAGGGGTCGATGGTCGCTTATAGCGACTTGAACGTGAGGTCTCCACACCGGTATCGAGTCTAGTTCTGGAGGTGGCTCGTTGGTATGACCTATTTAAGGACTTTTTCTCAACAGTTAGCGGTCTAGTCTGGCTTTCGTCATCGGAATGGGATGCACCTCGTCCAAGTCAAGCAACATGATCGTATTGGACCCTCGCCAATTGAAGAGGAGTCCCTCTGGTCATCATCTCCAATTTGAACTACCAACTTCACCCTCGGCCGTTCATGGAGGGCCGATAATTGAGGAGCTCTCGAATGAGGAGACGGGCGGCTGTAAGGCCCATCAGCAGGTAATGAAGTCAGACTCTCTGATCAGCAGTCCCGGGGGTCGCCTACTCGTCTATTTCAGCTTGATGATTCTACAGCAGTGACTTCGTCTTCTTCTCAAGATGGCGGCAGCGCGAACGGGCAGGTAGTGATCTCATCGTGATAGCCGTGAATGAATATCTTTCTGTTGTTGATGTGACGGTTGTCCAATATTCTTTGAGTCAACGGAAAACACTGGTCTCATGTAGATCGTAAAATTAATAATTACAGCAAGTGTATGTGATATTCAGTAGGAGCTAAGTAGCATACTAGGTCGACGCTAGATGCACAGCTACATCACAATAATATGATTTTCTCTGTCCTCATGATACTACAATATTCTCAAACCCAGCAGATTCTTCTGAGCATACCCGATGACGACTTCATGGATTGTATATCCGTGGATACTGGCAATGATACCAAGGTGAGATGTTGGAGACCTCCCGATAGTAGAACATGCGATTCAGGTTGGTCCGCTGGTCCACCAGAAACTTGCAGAATTGGATGGGGTCTCTCGGGTAGTAGCGAGGTGGAGAGTAATAGTGTACTGTATGCTAGTCGAACGTTGGTATTGAACTGTGGGCAGTTGTATGAATTAGCACAAGGTCAGTTTCGACCATGTAACTCTCTCGTAAGTCTCTCTCTTGAGAGACTACTGCACCTTCGTCCTTGTGTGGGATGATCTATCGATCTTGAACTGAATCTAGGTCATGTTCGATGCGGCCCGCAGGGCTCAAGCAGAGATCCAGCACTACCTCACAGCAGAGGGAGAGAGTGAATTCGTATCGGTCGGCAAGGCGGGTCCAGTTGAACTCATGGCCAGACCGCCCCCTGTTGGGGAAAAATTCCAGGTAGTGGGAGGGCGTTTGGAAGAGGTGTCTACATATGAGATCATTAAGGCTGTGGTTTTGGTATCGGTCCTGTTTGGAGTGTCCGTTACCTGAGAAATCTTCGATGGAAAAAGTTGGGATTTTTGCTCTTCTGGGTGCGAATGCTCCAGGCTTTCCAGTAGCTATGCAGTGTTAACTCCATAGTTGAAAACTCTGATGGTTAAAGAGTAGGAAGGAAAACGCTTGCTGTAGATCAGATAGAAAGTGGGGACAATCTTTGTGTCCTAATGATTCTTCGCTTTTTTGCTAGATAGTGCACCTGTTTATCCGCTATTTTGGAAGAGTTTTTGATTTTTTATTCTGAAGGCGGAATTTTTTCCAACTAGGCACGCAACAGCGGTCATGTTCATAGTGGCAGTGGCCATGGGAGAACTTCGTGAAGTTGTTGTTCATCATGGTGAACATATTAGGAGTCGATCTCTTGAGCCCGGGATAGCAAGGCTCAAGTTTCAGGTTATGATGGGCCGCCGTTCATTCGGGCGTCACGAGATTGACTTGAATAGCTTACTGGATACGCTGATGGACCCAACTGCATTGTCCAAGTACAATCCACATGCATCAGATGGTGCGTTACGGTTACCAGCTGTGTGGCAGGACTTTGAATGATGTATTCGTCTTGTCGCTTTTCCCCTAGGTCGAATTCTGAGGAAGGGCCTGATTGATGAACCCGAACGGCGACTAGATCTACAGTACGCCACATTTAAAGGTACTGGGAGCGGCTTGTTGAGCATTGGGATGTGCAGCAAAACAGGTATGTTCACTGTGGCAGCTAGAGACGCCGTGTATGCTATACTACGTGAAAGGATTCATGATAATTTGTGGATAGTTTCGCGGCGATCAGTGGACATTCCAGGTGAGAATGGTTCTCTCCTGCTCATGACCAGGCTAAGGAGCCGTCCCATCGAGCACTCGTGTTGTTGAAATTGTGGTACCAACTACATAGCTGGCGTCGAGTATTGGTGCTCGGGTATGTGTGTACGTTGCACAGAAAGGGGTTAGGAATATCTCTGTCCAAGTCTGGAATAATTTTCTATCTTTTAGATTGTCCTTACCAGGACCCGCAACCCGGCTTAGTGAGGTGTGAGTTCTTATGCTATGGCTATGCGATAATGAGAGACCCGCAGACAGGAGAGCTCAGTGTTACTATGTTCAGCCAAGCTGATCCTGGTGGCAATGTGCGGAACATACCAACTTGGATAGCGAATAAAGGCCAGGTTGGTGTGTGGGTCGATCACGAGATGGAAAGTGGACTTGTTCTTAGAGGGCACAACCAGCGAGCCTGAATCACTTATATAATCTCCTTAAAGCGGACCAGAGAGTAAGCAGTATTGATCTCTGTGTAGCGCGACTGGGACGATTGTCTTTGGTCGCTGGTCAAGGAAAGCACGGTTTGGGGATCCGATGATTTCCACTTGTTTAGGTCACTCCCTGATGGGTGTAGTTTGGTAGTACTTCCAATCGGTGGCCATGCGTGAACCGTGTGCAGTAGTCGTTGCAGCCGACCATTCGAAATCAGCAGAGGTTGTTGTGGCGGCTATTGCCTGGTATGAATTCTCTTTCCCCAAGTACAGTAAGTAGTGTACACTCGTCATGTGCTCTAACTGTACGTTGATGGTTTTGTTATGTTCTGATTGGTTTTTTCGGCATGAGGGTCACGTCTCTCGATTGAAACAGGATGTGGCGTTATGGGGTCTCGTAATTTGGAGGGTTGATTCTAATGGATTGTGTGGCGTGATGGTGAAGGTCGCTGCTATCATGGTCTAGGTATTGGGTTCAATCCCCGCAGTTGTTTTTACATAGCAGAAATCATTTGCTGTCCATCATCATAAAGAAATGGGATGCACCTCGTCCAAGTCAAGCAACATGATCGTATTGGACCCTCGCCAATTGAAGAGGAGTCCCTCTGGTCATCATCTCCAATTTGAACTACCAACTTCACCCTCGGCCGTTCATGGAGGGCCGATTATCGAGGAGCTCTCAAGTGAGGAAGCGTCGCATGATTTCAATAAGCGACAAAAAAGGGTATTACGGGAACGGTATTGGATTTTTTTTATTTGTGTTCCATTCTGATTACCGATACGTCGGTTGGCTATTATTTCTAGTCTATCGAGTAGTAACCTACAAGGCTCTCAGTATTTTATCGGTCTACATATATTACTACTATATCATGATGATTGTTGTTCAATCGTTGCGATGCCCGTGCTGATAGCGCTTGTCTCCTCTTTCAGCTACCATTGACAGAGCCGCCCACAACTGACACTTCACATGTCGAGGATGATGAGGTGCGGTCAGCATAGAAGGTCTATGGACTGCATATATTCTTCTGCTTTCGTCAGAGTCGGCTGATGCGAGTTAAATCGTGGCGAAGTGAGGATTTCGCAGACTGTGTTTCAGCGACTTCTGAATCACAGCTCAAAAATGGAGAAGTGGTGAGTGCATCTCGGGATTGGATTTCTAGTTGACATATGCTGCTTACGTGGTTCATGTTTGGGAGAGTTTGGTGACTCGTAGGTAACGCCGAAAGTGCTGCCTGCTATCCCCACTTTGGACCCCGCCACTCAGGTGAGATCTATCGCTTGATTTTAAATGATGAGTTTCCATCTCTTCCAGAAACTGTTGAACGCCGCGATGGAATCACAAAAGAAGATTCTCTATTATCTTTCCCCAGAGGGTATGGGAGAGTTCAAGCCTAATGGCAAGGTCGGTCCAGTGGTGTTGATGGTCGTACCACAGACGAGCGATGCCCCGCAAGTAGTGTGAAGTATTTGCAATTTGTAGGCGGTAGAGCGTGATCTTAGGTGGTGATGGGCTACCGATCATTCGGGTGCGGTGAAGTCGAATTACAAGACCTGCTGGATCTACTGATGGATCCGGCCGCGAGGAAGAA